ACCAGGCGGCACAGCCTCAGGCTGGTTAGAGTTAAGAAAAAGTACAGCTGCAGAGGCTCTCCTAGAAGTGGGCTTTTGGGACAGTCAGAGTGAGCAGCTCATTTCTGGCATTGGAAGAGATCTTTGTCTAGTGTCAGGAGTGAAGGGTGGGGCTTGGCGTGATGAGGTACCTCAACCCAACAGTAGTGACCTTTTGGCAAGCTTTTCAGAGCCTTTCATTGATTACCAATCATTGTTTCTGACAGGAAAAAGCAGGAGGAGTCACTTGTCTGTCATTCAGTGCTGGTGTTGGCTTCTGGATAATCGCTCACATGTTGCGGGTACTTAATTCGTCTGCGAGGAGCATCTGTGTTTTGACAAATAAATTTTACAACCTTATTTTTCCATACCAATGCCAGGTTTACACTGATCAAAATACACACAGAGTTATTTGTATACAAAATCTCTTTCCTAATTAGTTAATTAGTATATCAAATTTGTATGGCTGTTTAGCATGTTCCAACACTAGGTTTTTGAAAAATTCAAACAACATATAAGATACAGTTTCTATCCTCAAGGAATGTATAATTCGAGAGAGAAAATTAGCATTCAACAAATAAGCAAGAAATGAGTGATGAACTATGATGCTGATTAGAAGTATAACTCAAATTCAGGAGAAAAAAAAAAAAAGGAGCCCAGTATAGGTTAGAGTAAGAGACTATTGCAGGGAGATAAGACTCAGGATAGGTCTTCAGGATGGAAAAATTTTAGAAGAGGATAAAAGAAGAACAGCTTTCCTGGCCTGAGGAATCACGTGAGCCAAGGCACAGAGGCAGGAAATCAACACTATGTCCTCGGGGCCATCCGGGAGAGACTGTGACAGAAACGAGGAGGGCAGGTTACATGGGAAATAAATTTGGGTAGTTAAGGCGGAGCCCTGTGTCTGTTGCCTCAAAGGTCAGTCAGTTTGAACTCAGTATTACAGACCACCACTGTTCAATAATAATGCCACATATGTAATTTAAAACTTTCTATGCCACACTAAAAAAATAAAAAGAAACGGGTGAAGTTCATTTTAATAATATATTTTCCCTAACCCAATATGTCTAAAATCTTACCATTTTGACATGTAATCAATATTAAAAATGTTTTTTACTGCTCCAGGTGTTAAATTTAAATTAAGGAAAAATTTAGTTCCTCCACTGCATGGACCACAATTCAAGTGTTCAATAGCCACATGTGTCTAGTATTGGACAACCTAGCTTTGGACAATTGTGAGATGATTTAGCAGCTGAATAATAAGCCAAAGATACATGGTATCTTAGGGAGGATTTGTCGTCAGTGAATTGAAGGGTGCGATGATCCTGGGAGAAGAGAGAAGTTAGATCTGGAATGAGTTTCACGTGGGTACTACAATGGTAGCAGTGGGGGCATTAAGAGGATGGGGCAAATCTGAGAGATGCTTCAAGAAATAATTGGTGTGCCTTGATGACTGGTTGGTAATGAGAAAGGAAAAAAAAATTTGAGAGTAGCAGCCAGCTTCCAAACAGTTCTCAATGATCCCAGCTGCCTATTCATACCCTGGTGTAGTCCCCTGCCACGCTGTACCGGGTGTGGTATGCGTGACCAATAGAATGAGGTGGTGGTGATGGTACATCACTTCCAAGATTAGGTTATAAAAGATACTGCTTCTGTTTTGGTGGTTCTCTCTCTTGGATCACACACCCTGCAGAAATGGAGCTGCTACACTGTGAGCAGCCCTCTTGAGAGGACCATGTGGTGAGGAACTGAAGCTTGCCAACGAGCCCATGAATGAGTTTGGAAGGGGGTCCTCCTGCCCTGGTTGAGCATTTAGATGACTATAGTCCCAGCAAACACCATGACTGCAACCTCAGGAGAGACTCTGAGCCAGAACCACTTCTCAGCCTCTGATTCCTGAGTCTCAGAATCTGAGAGAGATAATAAATGTTTATTATTTTAAGTTGCTGAATCTTGGGGGCAATTTGTAACAGCATTAGATAATGACTACATCAAACAACAATAAAAAGGTGACCTAATTTAAAATGGGCAAAAGGATTGAATAGCCACTTTACCAAAGAAGATAAAGAGCATACAAAAAAGTGTTCAATATCATTAGACACCGGGGAAATGCAAATTAAAACCACAGTGAGACACACATCAACAGGCTAAAATTAAAGATGGACAGCACAAAATGTTGGTGAGGATGTGGAGTGAGCAGAATTCTTTTATTTTATAATTGAGATATAGTTCACATACCATACAGTTCATCCATTTAAAGTATAGAATTCAATGGCAATCATTACCACAATACATTTAAAAATATTTTTATTACTCCATAAAGAAACCCAGTACCTCTTAGCTGGTACCCTCCAATTATTCTACCAACCCTTCTGACCCCTAGGCCACTTTCTGTCTGTATACATTTGCTCATATTAATGAAGTTAGCATGTGGTCTTTTGTGCTTGGTTTCTTCCACTTAGCATAGCGTTTTCAAGGTTCATCTATGTTGTAGCATGTTTAGCTTTAGTTCATTTTTTTCATTGTCTAATATTTCATTATATGGATATATCACTTTTTTTAAAAAGATCTTATTTATTTATTTGAGAGAGAGAGAGAGAGAGAGAGAGCACGAGCAGGGGGAGGGGCAGAGGAAGAAGGAGAAGCAGACTCCCCATTAAGCAGGGAGCCCGATCTGGGACTCAATCCCAGGACTCTGGGATCATGACCTGAGCCGAAGGAATATGCTTCACTGCCTGAGCCACCCAGGCACCCTGGATATATCACTTTTTAAATTATTTTTTAAAAAAATATTTATTTGAGAGAGAGAGTGTGTGCAGGAGCAGGGTGAGGGGCAAAGGGAGAAGCAGGCTCTCCGCTGAGCAGGGAGCCAGACGTGGGGCTGGATCCTGGGACTCCAGGACCACGACCTGAGCCGAAGGCAGTTGTTAACCAACTGAGCCATGTAGACACCCCAGATATATCACTTTTTTAAAATCCATCAGTTGAGACACATTTGAGTTGTTTCCACTTTTTGGTTATTATGAGTAGCTGTAAACATTTGTGTGGACTACTTTCATTTCTTTTGGGTATATACATAGGAGTGGAATTATTAGGTCTTATGGTAACTCTGTATTTAACCAATTGAGGGATTGCTAGATTTTTTTTCCCAAAATGGCCATAAAACTTTACATTCTCACCAGCAGTGTATGAAGATTCTTATTTCTTTACATCTTTACCAACACCTCCTATTTTCTATCTTTTTGATTATAACCATCTTAGTGGGTATAAAGTCATATCTCATTATGGTTTTGATTTTCACTTCCTTGATGGCTAGTCATGTTGAGGATCTTTTCGTATGATTATTGATCATTTGTAGATCTTCTTTGGAGAACTGTCTATTCAGATCCATTGCCCACTTTGAAATGGAATGATTTTTTAAAATTATTATTGAGTTGTAATAGTTCTAGGTACAAAATCCTTATTAAATATATCATTTGCAATTTTTTTTTCCTATTCTGTGGGCTGTCTGCAACTAGAATTCTTAGTCCAAAATGATATTAACACTTTTGAGAAACATCTTCGGTTATATAATTTGCCCAAGGTCACTAAACTATTAGCATGCTAGGGACAGAACAGGACCGACTACATAATTTGTAGACCTGTCTACAGCAAAAAGAAAATGTGGGGCACCTTGTTAAAAAATTGTTAAAAGTAGAACAGGGCCCTTCTAAGCATGGGGCCCTGTGAGACGCAGGTTCCATGCACATGAAGCTATGGGAACAGGGAAGATTTGAATCTTGGGCTGTTTAACAGGAAAGCTCACGCTTTCCAATAAACCATGCTGGGTTGAATGATCCGTTCATTTTTTGGGCACGCTGAATGAGACATGATGGCAATGTCAGATGCTGATATCAGATATTGATGTTCCAGAGCTGGTTAAAAACTGAATTATAGGTCAGTAGTTCCTTCTGTGATGCCTGTTTGTCTTTGGGGTTAAGGCTAGGATTTAAACTACATCAGCGTCCTATTATCAAGTCTATTTCATCTGATTCGCAAAAAAGAGAATACTAAATTTTTTTTTAAAGATTTATTTATTTATTTTGAGAGAGTGAGAATGAGAGAGAGAGTACATGAGAGCGGGGAGTGTTAGAGGGAGAAGCAGGCCCCTCGCCAAGCAGGGAGCCCGATGCGGGACTCGATCCTGGGGCCTCCAGGATCATGACCTGAGCCAAAGGCAGTTGCCTAACCAACTGAGCCAGAATACTAAATTTTTATTTTAATTCAAGCAAAGTTTTTCATGTCAATCCCTGCTGGTCAAGCCTAGCCCAAGAGAGCCTCTGGGGAACAATTTCTTTTCTTTCTTTCTTTTCTTTTTTTTTTTTTTAAGATTTTATTTATTTATTTGACAGAGAGACACAGCGAGAGAGGGAACACAACCCAGGGGGAGTGGGAGAGGGAGAAGCAGGCTCCCCAAAGAGCAGGGAGCCCGATGCGGGGCTCAATCCCAGGACCCTCAAGTCATCTTGAGCCGAAGGCAGACGTTTAACGATTGAGCCACGCAGGCGCCCCCCCGTTTCTTTTTTCTGATTTATTTATTTGAGAGAGGGGGAGGGGCAGAGGGAGACTCTTAAAGTGGACTCCCCACTGAGAGGGGAGCCCAGCATAGGGCTCCATCGACCATCCTGATCCCAGCCAAAACCAAGAGTCTGATGCTTAATCTACTGAGCCACGCAGGAACTCCTCTAGGGATCAATTTCTTTTCTCCTCTTCAGCCGGGTTCCGCTCCCTACCGCTCCTTCAGCCCTGCCCCACCTCGCCCTCCGCCTTCGCTCAGCCCCGCCCCCCAGCCGAGCCCCAGCCCGTCCTCTCCACCCGCCCTCAATACATTTCCTCCCGCAGCGGTTCTCGCCCCGCCCCTCAGCGTCGCGCAGCTGAAAAACATCCCGTCTAGGGCCTCTCTGGCCGCCTGGAGGACTTGTCATCTGTGTCCGGCGGCGCTGGGAGGAGCAGGGCGGCGGTGGGTGGGTCTGACGTGAGGCGACTCGATTCTCCTGCGCGCCGCCTTCTACTACTTTCCGCTCGCGGGTGTCTTTGACATGGGGCTGCAGCAGATGTGGAGGCTCGTGTGGAGGTGAGTGAGCGAGCTGTCTAGCGCAGGCTCCTGGGCTGTGCTCGCCGAGGTTGCAGAGGGTCGTGCGCCGGTGGGGACCGTCTGGCCTCGAAGTTTCTAGTGACACTTGGAGGCGCCCCTCTTAGAGCTGAGCCCGGCCTTCTCTGTGTCTCGCTCTTCCTGTATTTAGCACCTTTGCAGCATCCCCTTCGTTTTCTGCCCCTCTGGCTCTTATTTAGCCTTGATCCCCACACTACTTTCTTTACTTTTGATCCCCCATTTCCTTTCTTCAAAGCTGAGTATAGTTTGGGGGACAGGCAGGGTTTCAGCATGGAGGAATTTTTTTTTTTTTTAAGATTTTTTACTTATTTGAGAGAAAGAGAGAGAGCATGAGAGGGGGGAGGGTCAGAGGGAGAAGCCGACTCCCCGCTGAGCAGGGAGCCTGATGCGGGGCTCGATCCAGGGACTCCAGGATCATGACCTGAGCCGAAGGCAGTTGCTTAACCAGCTGAGCCACCCAGGCGCCTTCAACATGGAGGAATTTTGTGGCATGTTTTGTGCAGCTAACGAACGCTCCTGCTTTGGCAGTTGTTGCACCTGCGCTTGTGGTGTGACTTTATTGTTCAGTTCTGTCGGATGGCTCCAGCCTTAATCCAGGTGTGTGGAACTTTGAGGCTAGTGTTGTGGACACATAACGTGGCTTGGTGGAGTATGTGTCCAAACATCGTGTTTAACTTTTGGAAAGTGCTGCTGAATGCAGCTTGAGCTCTGCAAAGGAAATCTGGTAGTAATGAGTTAAGGATGTTAGGCAGCGTTAGTCTTGAGGCCTACTGCCTGCCCATGTGCATTCAGGTGGTAGCTGTGACTACTTGAAGGGAGAACCATCTTATTTACTCCATAACTTCAGTTGCTGAGTTCTTTAGTCTTTGAGTTTGCCTTGGGGGAAAAGGATGGAAATGCTTATTTGGTTTAAGAAGGGAATAGTCTTTTCTCTAGAGATAAACGTCTGGTTGTTTAACATTGTATCCACAGACCTGGGTCTCAATCAATGAAGAAAAATGGAGGAGTTGCTTTCCTTCTTCATTTTTTTAGTACCTCGAAATTAGCTGTCCCTGTGTCTCTGAACAGCTCAGGGAGAGATGGCAAATACTAAGAAAATCAGCACGTGTCATTACTGCGGCTGCTTTTTGAAGTTGTGAGCAAATACCAAGTTATCTGAGAAACAAATTGGGAATACCTGCTAACAAAATTAACTGACTTGGGAAACAATCTGTCATCCCCAGAATTCAGGCTGGCTTTATTTATTCCACCCCTCATCTCAGGGTGCAGACTGACTAGGTGAGTCCTGGACCAGTTTAGGGGTTTGATTAGGGATGCCTTTTCCAGGGCTTTGGAGTGGGTATTGCCCTAGCAAAGGAGAGACCTGAGGCCAGTGTCACCTAGTCTACAATAGCCTAACCCATAAATGTATTAAGGAATAGGGTGCCACAGAGTGTTTTGGAGAGGAAATAAGGCCTCTGTGCTGTGGTTGACATTGTTGGGCAGTTCCTCTTGAACTCTGGTCTTCCTTGGCTCTCTGCCACTGTCTTTCCCATGTACCTCTCTACTAATTCTTATCTTGTCATGGTGCCAGTACAGCCCCTGGGCATTTTGGGGGGAGTTCCCAAATAAAGTACCTCTCTGAAGAGAACTCTCAAATTTGTGTGTCTAACCTTGATTTATCATAAATGCTAGTACAAGTCACAACCACCTGAACATCTCATTTGCACCTCAAGTGTTAATTTGCACATAAGTGTAACCCATACTCATCTGCACTTTCAACTTCTTGGAACTATTGTTCTTCTAGATTTTTAAAGTTATCTAAGTTCTTCCACACTCCCAATCCTTATCTCTTCCTGCTGATTCGAATTTGAACAATCTTCTCAAATTTTTCAGTTGTTCATTTTGCAGAAACTTGATTGGTGGACTTATTCCCAATTTGAATAGCTTCTGCATGTGACTGCTAGGTTAATCTTGCTAAAGTTCACTTCAGGGCCTGCCATTCTTCTGCTAAGAAGTTCTTTGAGGTGTCCTCCTACTTATGGAATTAAATAAAAATTTCCCAGCCTGATTTCAAAGATTTGGCCCTAATTCATGAATTCTATAATAGTGTTATATTCTAGCTTCTGGGAGTTCTGGGCCCTTTTGTTACCTCGTAGCCAATCTGGCTCTTGTTTCTTATTAAGGCCCTTGAAGTCCCAAAAGAAAGCAGACAAGAAACAAATATTTAAACAAAAGTCATACTTAGTTACAAACTCAGATAAGTGTCTTAAAGGAAAAGGACAAGTAGGAGAGATTTAGAAATGAAAGAGAGGGGTCGGGAGGCTCTTCAAAGACGTTGGTCTTGGGGCGCCTGGGTGGCTCAGTTGGTTGGGCGACTGCCTTCTGCTCGGATCATGGTCCTGGAGTCCTGCATCGGGCTCCCTGCTCAGCGGGGAGTCCGCTTCTCCCTCTGACCTTCCCCCCTCTCATGTACTCTCTCTCTCTCATTCTGTCTCTCAAATGAATAAATAAAATCTTAAAAAAAAAAAAGAGGTTGGTCTTTTAAGTTGTTAATAGTACTCCTTGCTTTCTCCATCTGCTCTATAGTGGGCTGAACCACATTGTTTTGGTTCTTTTTGAGTTGCCTCTTTTTCTTCTACACAGTTGTTTCGGAAGGCTCAATATTTGATTTCTCTGTTATATTTTTTCTGTGTTAGGAGTCACAGCCCCAAATGCAGAGGCATCTAGTAATGCTGGCTAGACAACAGCAGTGGTGACTGGTAGGGAACTTGTGAGCTAGAGAAAGTGCTCTGTGTAAAGGAGCCAGCTTCTCAGCCCCAGGCCGGCATTGTTACCATTATAGAATGTAGACCCAAGGTTTCTATAACTACTAATTTTTCTGGGAAACTGAATTTTTTGGTGAAATCTTTTGATTTTAAATGCCTGGTTTTAAAACACTGCTGACCAGACAAAACACATTAGTAGACCCAGGCAGCATTCAGGCCACTAATTTTCAGCTGCAGCTTTTTCATTCCTCAAGGACAGCTGAGACTTTCTTATGCCTCAGTGATTATCTGTGCATGTGACTTTGTGACATAGCTTCAGTTCTGACTTTTCTTTCAAACTCCAGTCTCTCTACTTGCTGTTGAATGTTTCCACTTATGTCAGTACAGGCTCAAGAAACTGAAAATGGACTTTATATTTCATTCTACAAACCAGCTAGTTTCCTTGCCAGCTTTTTCAGTACCTATAGTCTCTTAGCTACCCTAGCTTGAACTCTTAGAATTGTTATTAACAAAGTTCTTTTCCTTTCCATTGAGTTTTAACTTCATAATATCTCCTAAAAATCATTCCTTTGTTTCTGCAGCTGCTGTTCATCAGTTCATGCCTGAATTGCTTGGTCTTGGGTTTGATTTTTCTGTTCTATTCACCTTCTATCTTGCCTACTTCTGCTGTAATCTTCATTAAGCACTATTTTCATTATTTCATCTTAAACAGTTCCATGAGAAGTTGTTTAATTTTATAAACTTGTGTGTGATTTATCGGAGAATTGCAGAAATCTCCTAAATGATAATGTTCTCATCCTTTTAAGACAGTTGTTTTTAACTTCAGCATGTCTCAGACTCACCTGGAGGGTTTGTTAAACACAGATTTTTGGGCTCACCCCACCGTTTCCAATTCAGTACCTCTGGGGTGCATCCAACAATTTGCATTTCTGACATGTGCCCCTGGGATGCTGGTGGTGCTGGTCCAGGAACCACACTTTGAGAACAGCTGCCCCAAGCAGATAAGTTGACCCTCACCTGAAGGAAGTAAGTCTAAGAAAGTGATTTAGTAAATTAGTAGCTGGAAGGTGCATGTCCTCTTCCCCTCCACCAGATGGCAGTTTTGGAGCCAACAGGAAGGAAAGGGAAGACCTTCAATTCAGAATTATTTGGGGACTCTGAATACTCAAATACATTTCTGAGATGTAAAAGTTAACAGCAGATTTTAAATAACGGTTGAGTAGAAATTGGAACAAATAAAATTAATATTATTACATAGAGGCTGGTAAGGAACTTAGTTGTACTTAGGTTTTTCTGTTTTATAGCAATTGGTCCAGAGCTTTTGGGATCTTTAAAATGCTGTGCACGGTGCTGTGCACTTGCATTTGGTAGGTTTACGTGAACTTTCTTTGAATGAGCTAAAATTCTATCTCACGAATGAAACTAGGACTTGAAGCTAGGTCCGTGTGTTTCTATGCCATAGGTGGTGCTTAAGCTGTTGGAAAAGACTACCCAGTCTGGTAGCACCATCTTTAACCTTGAACTGGCATTTGGGTACTGGTCTAATTAAGGAATTCTGGGTTATGCTGGATCTAAAGAAATTAGTGCTTAAATTTTTCATTCTTAATTTTATCTTTTCGGAAGTTTTTAAGTTCAAAAAAAATTTTTAAATGGTGCTTCAGGATAAATATAGCTCAGATTTTAAAAGTCTATATGAAATCCCTATTTAGAAAATATCCCTAAATAAGCTAGTATCTGTCACTTCAGTTTAATTTTTATAAAATATTGATTTTAATGACGGCTTGTTTGTGCTTTGGAATCATTTGGGGGAGCTTCAAACAAAATACTTATGCCTGTGTCCCACCTCCAGAGTTTGAGTTAACTGGTCTTGGGTGTGACCTGGGCTTTGGAATGTTTATTAGAGTTTCCAGGTGATTCTAATGTGCAGACAAGTTATGGAATTACTGGGCTAGAATAAGAATGTTTTACTTGTGGTAAAACAAATTCAAAATATGCTAGTCTAGAAATGTGAAGTGTGACTGATTTAAACAAATCAGTGGTTTCCCTTTTTTGGGGGGTAGTAGTAATCAATTTAAATGTAATATAAGAGGAAAGTAAGAATCCTGGAAAGATGTATTACAAATATTTTTATAAATTCAGTCACCTAAAATGTAGCTACAATGATGACAATGGGCATATTACCTTTTTTCATGGCTCAGCTAAACAGTTGTCCCTCAAATCTCAAAGTATCCTTGAAAAATTAGTAAATTGGTGATTTATGAGTTCCCTCAGATAGTATATGTATCTATACATGTGCACAGTCCTTAATCAGGCTGCTGCTGCTACAGATTCCACCCTTGACTTGACTTCATACATCTTAACTTTCACTTGTTTAGCATGCATCCGATATATCTTAATAACACTATTTTTATATGCATCTCTCTTCACTATACTTTGAGTTGCTTGAAGGGAAGAGCAATATCTTTTGGGGGACTTTTAAAAAAGGCCTGAATCATAGGGGCGCCTGGGTGGCTTAGTTAAGCGTCTGCCTTTGGCTCACGTCATTATCCCAGGGTCCTGGGATCAAGCCCTGCAATGGGGTCCCTGCTCAGTGGGGAGCCTGCTTCTCCCTCTCCTGCTCCCTCTGCTTGTGCTCACACTCTTTCTCTCTGTCAGATAAAATCTTAAAAGCCCGGAGCATAAAAATACAATTTGATGAATTTTCACAAACCGAACGTATCCATTTCACTGGCACATGGATCAAGAAAAAAATGATAGTACCAGCATCTCAGAGGCCCTCCTCATGCTCCTTCTAGTCACTGCCCACCCCCATGCTGCTTTTACTTATTTAATTGTAATGTACATGAAGTACTGAAATGTACTATTCTGAAGTCTGTAGCTCAGTTAACTTTTGCACTTGTATACAGTCCTGTAACCATCATCTAGATAGAGATAATTTCTGCCACTCCAGATTTCCTCCTGCCCCCCCCAACTTCCTCCACCCTCTACCATTTTGACTTCTGTTATTACTGATCACTTTTGCCAAACTGTGTCTTAAGCTTTGTATGTCTAGCCTAACACTTTTAAAACAAACTTAGAAGTGTGTTATGTTTCTTTTATAGCTTGCTTTTGGTAATTTCTATCATGACTATCCATATCATAAGTATTTATTTTTAAATAAATATTTTTATTGGCTTTGTATTGGTTTTGTGTAGATGACCGTTTATAAAATATTACTAGAGGCGACTGGACCAAGTTGCTGCCTTCACCCTTTGCCTCCCCCATCCCTGACCCCACCAGGGTCAATAAAAAGGAACTCAACTTCAACCACAGTGGAGCCCATAAGACCTCAGAAAAATAACAGCAAGGATCAGTTGAATACATTAATGAAGTACAGAATGCAGTAGACTTGAACAAGCCAGTGAGATTTTGAAAGTAGAATAGACCTATAACACTGCTGACCACTTTTTTCAGAAGAGGTTGGAATTGATTGTCCAAATCCTACATTTTTGGGTTAACATTTGTCACTCATCCACAAGTGTCTGCACTGCATTATTTGACAAGAGTTGAAGTGACAGAATTTGAAGATATTAAATCAGGTTACAGAATAGATATTTTGATAGAAAACCTTACTTTGAAAATAAAGTTCTTTCCAAGGAATTTCATCCAAATGAGAGTGGTGATCCATCTTCAAAGTCCACTGAAATCAAATGGAAATCTAGAAAGCATTTGACAAAATGTTCAAGTTAAGTGCAGAATAAAGCCAGCAGGAAGAGAGAGCATGAGAGACCCAGAGAGCTCTTTCTCTGGTTTACTGATGATTCTGATGGAGGTGCAGATGAGTTCAGGAGAGGTCATCAAAGATGACACTTGGCCAAATCCATTATAGTGCCACTTGGTTCTTGACATGATAATGAAGGAGATGAACATGATGATGAGTGGGAGGAAGGAGAGGAGGATGTAGGAGAAAGGATTAATGGAACTCTAATGGATTCTAACCTTTTTAAATTTTCTCCAGGCCTCTGGAGCAAGTTGCAGTCTTCCCAACTCCCCCACCTCTTGTGTTCAGTTGCTCTGTTTTTTGAGGTCCCTTTTCCTTTATACCTTGGTTTTCAATTTATTTTGGGGGGAAATACCTTGAACAGAATACAGTGGGAAAAGAATCTCTACCCTTTTTTGTTCCAAATTCATTTTTTTTTTTGTAATACCTTTTAGAAGAGGCTAAAACCAAAGGAAATACAGTATTTATACATTGAGACATGACTACTCATGTTACTGTGTTCATTGTATTCTACATTTATTTCAGGTTTAATTCATTCAAAAGAACTGATATCATACTGCAACATTTGGTAAGTTTGGATTTTGTTTTGTTGGCATTGTTAGATTATAATGTGCAATGTAAAATGTCATTGTTAGGGAAGTAGAGGAATACTGGCAGATTTTGTTGCCCTTCTTGCACCATGGTTCCTAATTTTATAGGTCAAGACTTGACACATAACTAGGAGATGGTATAAGGTTATGAGTAAGAGCGTGGACCTTCAAGTCAGAATGCTTGGGCTTAAATAATGAGTCCACTACTTAATCTTGGGTAGATTACCTCATATCTCTCAGCTTCCTTTTAGACATGATAAGATGCGGATAATAGTATCTATCGTAGAATGCTTGTGAATAATAAATATTTCATTTAAAAATCTAGCACCAGTGCTTGGCATGTAATCATTTTATACTTGCTAGCTACTATTGTACTTATTCTTCCAAAGCTTAGATGCCTTTAGTACCCTTTCAGAACTTAGATGTTTTTAGTTTACCATTTTGAGAGGAAGAAATAATTTTTATTCATTTTTGTATCTCAGTGCTATGGACTGAATCTTTGTATCACTCCAGAATTCATATGTTGAAGTCTAATTCCCAGTGTGATGGTATTTGGAGGTGGGGGCCTTTAGGAGATGATTAGGTCAGGAGGGTGCTGTTCTCATGAAAGGGATCAGTGACCCTATATATAAGAGAGACTCCAGAGAGCTTTCTTACCTGTTTTGCCTTGTGAGGAAGGACACAGTGAGAAGACAGCCTTCTGTGAACCAGAAGAGGGACTTCATGAGGCACTGAATTAGCAAGTGCCTTGATCTTGGACTTCCCAGCCTCTAGAATTGTGAAAAGTGTTGTTTAAGCCACCCAGTCTGGGATATTTTTCTTATAACGGCCTAGATGGACTAAAACACTCTCCTGCGGCCTGACAAGTACCTCGCACATAAAAATAAGTTACTCTGATTTGCGCTTACTGTATGCCAGGTGCTCTTCCAAGTACTTGGTATGTATTAGATCAGTTGATTCTCATTATAGTCCTATAGAGTAGATACTACAGATCTTTTTTCTGTAATTCTGAAACCTCATAATGAAAAGTTTGTGGTTAGTTTGTGATAAATGCATTTTGTGACAAAAATCTGACTTGAACGTACTTGAAGCTCTTTTTTCTTTATCCTAACAAGTGCATATGTTCATAGTTTAATGCAGAAGTGTTAAAGCATTTTATTGTAGTGTGCTGACTAGATTCCACTTGGGTTTTTTTAAATAGTATTAATATGTATTGTGTTACCTTTCCAAAATCTAGAAAATTTTCTGGATTTCAAAACACATCTTGACCCAAGGGTTTTTGGTTAAGGGATTTTGGTTAAGGGATTATGGCCTTACCCCTATTTAATGGGTCAGAAATTGAGGGTCAGAGAGGCTATGAAATATGCCTCAATGTCATGCAGCTGGTAAATAGGATGTGGGATTTGAATCCAGTCTGGCTCCATAGACTTTCTTACTGTGCTGTATAGCCTGAGGCAGAGTGGGTATTAAGTAACTCCTGCAGAATGTGTCTCAAGCCTAAGTGCAGATGAGCAAATGAAGACTGGAGTCACCCTTCCTACCCTTAATTATTTTAGTACATTCACATGGGATCTGAGGAGTTTCCTGGAAAAAGAACATAAAACAATGTTGCTGATTCATATTTACACATATGTCCACAGGTAGAATAGAAAGATAAGACAGAATCCAGTTCACCTGGACTATGGTTACCTAAGGCATCAGTTGTATTGAGGGAAGGAAGGTAAGCTGAACTTTCATCAGGGTCTGAGGGCTGAATCATCTTGTTTCCAGTGTTGGCTTTTAGATGCATTTCAGAGATAGGCTGTTTCCCAAGCAGTCCTTCTGTGACCCTAATGTCTGCATCTCTGTGACTCTAAAATCTGTTTTCTGTTGCATAATGTGCCTATTCTAGGTGGCAAGAATGGTGACACAAGAGGATGGCGGTCACATTCAGGGCTTTCTGAGTATCCGTTTGAGGAGTGCTGTGCAATGGTGGGCCTGGGGAGTTTACCCAGAACTGGATGTGGACAGACTTGAAGCCCCTGCCAAATAACTTGGATGTTTTGAAGTTGATAGGGAGTCATAGACCATTTTTGAATGACAGGGACAAGATTAAAATTGTGTTATAGCAAAATTTCTCTGACGGCAGTGTGAAGGATAGACCGTCTGGCAGAGGTTCTGGAAATCTGCCAGGAAGGAAAATTGTAATAATTCTGCATGGCTACAATATAGGAATAGAACAGAATGGATAGATAGGAGAGTCATTTTGGAAATAAATTCTCTGGTACTTGGTAACTGCCTCAAATCATTGGCAGAGAGGGGAGGAGAACAAGTAGGAATCAGAGATGGCACCAACATTTTGAGTTTGGTTGACCGAGAAAATGGTGATGCTGTAACCTTTTATAGGGAATAGAGGACAAGAGACAGATTTGTTGGGGAGAAATTTGTTGGTAAATTGGTTTTTACCAAATTGAGCATGGGGCACATGTAGTTACTCCTGCAATTCTCGCAGGCAGTTGGAAATAGGGGCCTGGGCTTCTGGAGAAGTAAAGATATAGATGAAGGTTTGAGCCAGCAGCTTAGAGGTAATAATTGAAGATATAAAGTAGAAGGTATCACAAAAGGTGAAGGAATAGAGCACAGCTCCCTAAAGTATTGCCACGTGGCGGAATTTACGGACCCAGTTTGAAGTCAGGAAGGATTGAGTGAAGCTTGAGTGATCAGCATTTATTAAATGTTGTTTGACGCTAAGAATCTTGTGCTTTGGTGTCCTGTTTGGGTTACAGTGATTTAAATTTAATGGCATTCAACATTAGCTGGAAATTGATGTAAATCTTAGGAGTGGGAAGGGTATGTGATTGGATAAAGAGGAAAGTCAGATGTCAAAAGAAATCATGTTCTGCTTACAGTAGGATTTTTCTGGGGTCTGTCTTTGGGTGGCAACCTTGTCTGATGGCAGCGGTTGTTACATATAATGAAAGGTGTATGCTTAAGATTGGAATTTGGGTATCGACAATGTGCCGCTTGCTTTAGGCTTGAGTTATAGCAGGACTGCATCACTAGAATGATGGATTGTTCATTCAGCTTATTAAACATTTTTGGGATACCTGCTGTGTGCCAGGTATTGGATTTTCCTCAAAGGAAAGGTTCATTTCTCACAATGTTTATGAAAGCTCTAAAGTGTTTTCCAAAGTGCAGCCTGCCAAATACAAATCCCAAGAGGTAAATATTCCATGAAAAAAAAAAAGTTTAATCAAGTAAGAAAACTGCTCATTGTATTTTAAAAGTTTACATTTAATATTTGCATGTTAAATACAAAGAAATGTCTTACAGGAAAGAAACTTATTTATGTTGGTTTAAATTTTTCCCCCCAAGCTGATTTGACCATGAGTCATTTTATCCTTCTACATAGCAGCGGTAATCATCCTTTTGCACACTTTGGGAAATGTTGCTACTATGGATTTTGCCAGAATAGTTCCATGTTCTAGCAGAACAGTTATTCTAAAGTTGCGTGTGTTTTAGGGATTTTATTTTGGCCGACTTCATGTATTCATTTCAGCAGAGCTGTGTGTTGATGGTGTTCATTCATTTTAGCAAGTTTCCTTCATTTCTCTTTTGAATAGTTAGTTGTATATAATGGGTCACTCAGGCCTTACAGGAGTGGAAAAAGTTCTGTGGAGTGGGTTAAAGTGGGTGAGATGATATCATTTGAAGAAGATAATTGGGAGAGTCAGTTTAGGGGCTATAATGGTTAGAGCATTAGTTCTAGAATGAGATAGACCTAGGTTTGAATCTTGGTCCTGCCCCAAAGCTGTGTGATTCCAGGCAAGTGATCTAACTTCTGTGGGCCTCAATTTCCTTATCTGTGGAAGGGAGTTCCTGGTATATAACTCATTAGGGGGGTTTTGAGGATTAAGTGAAGAGTTTAGTCAAGTGTTTAGCATAATGTCCATGGAAAACTTTTAAATAGCAAGTTGAAAATAAGGAACAGCTTTTGCTGATTGCCTAAGAAAATATTTGAAAATAAAAATATTTGAAAATAAATGTGAACCTGTTGTCTTTTCTGGATGAACAATAAAGATTTAAGAAAGTTCTAATTCCCACCTTAAATTGCTTTTCCTCCTTTAAAACAGCTCTGGCAAGAAGCATTTCTTCTTTCCCCTCTCTGTTCCCTTTTATCCCTTCTGTCTCCCCCTTCTCCCTGCCCCCCAACTTTGGGTTGTACGAGAATTTCATTTCTGACTCTAGTCTCTGTAATCTTCCCTCATATGATATTTTTCTCCATAGAAACCTTTTCTAGATTTTAGTTAAAAATTTGTGATATTTTTGGAAAAGGGATTTAATTTTTTCTGCAGAATTAACATATAAATTATGCTAATACTGGAAAGTTCATCTTTTTTTTCTATCCTTTTGCTTGAATAATTTTGATTAATGCATTAATAGTTTTTAGGTTTTGAGAAGGCCATGAATTTTTTCAGGTAGGAAAAAAATCCTTTTATTTATTCATTTACATCACTCCAGTGGCATTACCAGGAGATTCTGGAATATTCTTTGCTCAAAGTCTGACCCTCTGTAAATGTCCTGCAAAAACACTTGGAGATCCATGCTTAAAAATATTCCTGCATCACTGTAATAGTAAAAATTGAAAATTACTCAATGTTTATCAGTAGGGGACTGATTAAATTGATACGTAAGAATGCACAGCTGTAAAAAATAAGTAGGTAGCATGCATGTGCAGTCAGCAAAATCCTGGGAAATTTTATAGGTTAAGTGGCTCGTTGTTTTCAACAAATTGTAAGGAAAAGAGAGGGATGAAGGGAGAACTGGTAGATTAGGAGACTTGAAAAACAGGGGTTCCTGGGTGGCTCAGTCGGTTAAGTGTCTGACTCTTGATTTTTGTCTCAGGGCATGATCTCAAGGTTATTGAGCTCAAGCCCTGCATTTGGCTCAGTGCTGGGCATGGAGCCTGCTTAAGATTCTCTCTCCCCCTCACCCATTT